ATATATACAATAAAGCACATAGCGGGCACAGTTATGGATACTTCCTAGATATCCAGATACCTTGTGGAATTGATGTACTGGGTTTGAAGGCTCAGGACCATAGTCTCTTGGGGCACCTAGGTCAATTGGCATAACTTAGTTCATAATGATAATGTTCTACATCCTAGTTTGGTGAGTAGCATCTGGGGTCTTGAAAGCTTGCAAGTGGCCATCTAAGATACAACTATTGGTATCTTCCCACCTGGAGCAGAGGACATCGAAGGAAGCCACAGATTCAAGAAAGAAATTAATCCACAGGACTAATGGACCATGCAAATATAGCCTATTCTAGCCCCAGACCAGAACCAGTTGGTTCCCACCTACCGCTATGGCCCATTCTAATCAGGGACTCAATAGAATGCCCCATTTAAGATGGGAGAAAAATGTGGGAAAAAACTCATATTCATAAAAAAGACCAGACTTACTGGGCTGACAGAGACTAAAGGAACCCCTGAGACTATTGCCCTAAGATACCCTTTTAACCGGGAACTGAAGCCACTCCAAAAGGTCACCTTTCAGCCCAAGAATAGACTGGCCTATAAAATAGAGAATAACACCCGTGAGGGATGTGCTCCTTTAAACAATCAATTATACGAGACCAAACGGTCAACATTTACCCAAAAGCAAAAATGAGAGGGCAAAGGAGGGGCAGGGAAACTGGATGGACAGAAACAGAGCAGGTGGAGTGGAAATGGTGAGAGTGCTGATACATTGAGGGAAGTGTAACCAACGTCACGAAACAATTTGTGTATGAATTGCTGAAATGGGGCTCTAATATGCTGTGTAAACTTTCACCTAAAACACAATAAAACATTCAAAAAAACTAATGTAGATGTTTTCTAAAACTTTTATTGAATTTCACTTAAACCCAGTTTCAGAGGAAGAGTTTTCCTGAAAGGTGTTTATGGCTTGTCACACCTCAAATTATTTGAAATTATTTCAATTTATTTCCAGTTATGGATTGCATTATGTCCCACAAAAATATGTGTTGTAAGTCCTAACCCCTATACCTGTGGTTGGAGCCCTGGTGACTCAGTGGTTAACAGCTTGGCTGCTAACCAAAAGGT